AAGGTATATAAGGCTTGAGTGAACAGAAAGTTTCTCTCTTGAGGCTGAGGATTTCATAGAGGTAAGAATGTGGCTGGCTTGTTCTGTTTCTCTGATCTTTCTGTATCTACATCTAGTTCCAGGATTTTTTTTTATTAATAAGACTGTTTAGCAATTCCTGTTACATCTGGCAACCCAGCATTTGTGGCATGAATTCATGAAAAAGCCGATTGCCTGTTCTTGTGGGCCCTGGCTCAGGCCTGAGCTGCATGTGGCCAGAGTCTCCACCCCACGTGGGCTCTTTCCTGGTAAGTTGTAGGCTCTCCCTGGATCCCCATCTTGGGCTGCTACCACACTAGGTAACTGCCTTGAAACCCACTCAGGTTTCAGCTATTCTACAGAGAAGCAGTCAGTCTCACATATGAATTTTCATTGTTAGCATATTTGGTGAGTCAATTGAAATATCTTAAAGGGAGAAATTAGTTAAAAGAGATTTTTTCCCAACATTAAAAAATGGGAAACATTTTTACAATGGAGGGAATTTGGTCTCTGTTTGATAATACAATTGACCATCTGAAAATGGAACAATTAAGTGAAAGGATAATTAATGTTGATGGGATAGATGTAATGTTGATTATAAATATTTTTTGTTTTATCATTAAAAAAGTTGGTTAATATGAGTGCCAAGATAAAAGTTTTAGAAAAACCTGTTAAAACAGATCATAGAGAAATTCAGACCCAGACAAAGGAACTTAAAGGTGAAGCAATCTAAGCATTGCATTATACAGTTACAGAGAAACAGCCTAAGGCTTTCAAACAGTCAACCTTAATCAATCCAGTAACCATACATGAACTGCCAAATGCTCAAGGCTATATATGAGCTGATAGGACTCCTGTGAAAATGTTAGATTTGAGGAGATTCAAAGAAGCTATAGTCTCATATGGTATGCATTCTCTGTTTGTAAAGCAGATGTTAAACTCGTGGTCAACTTGCAATGAAATTATCCCTCAAGACTGTAAAGATTTGGTTACAGCTATCCTAGAAGCTGGTCAACAGTTACAATGGAGGACCTGGTGGAAATAAGAGGCTAAGACAACTGAATGATGATGTAGGGCTAGAGGTAGGGAAATTTCCCAAGATCAACTTCTTGGAGAAGGTGATTATGCTGACATATAAAGACAATCTTTATATGATGGCCACACCCTAATTTTATGACAAATGGCAGCCTTGAATGCTTGGAAGAGAATTAAAGAAGTAGAAAAGAAAATTAAGTCATTTACAAAAGTTATACATGGCCCAAAGGAAACCTTCACTGATTTCTTACAAAGGCTATCTTCAGCAGTAAATAGAATAATACCAAATTTAGAATCTAGACAGATAATAATTGAATCTCTAGCTTTTGAAAATGCTAATGCACAATGCAAAAGGGTAATTAGGCCATTAAAGGCAAGATCAGCACCCTTGGAGGAATGAATCAAAGATACAATTAATATCAAACCTCATGACCATGATGATGCTTAGATAAAAGAGGTGATTTCCAGAGGTTTGAAGAAAAATAGTAATGTCAGGTGTTTCAGTTGTGGTAAACAAGGTCACCTAAGGGTATTCCTAGAAACAATTTTTTTTCAAGGAATAATCCCAACAGAATGTCCCTCCCTTCTGGATTATGAAGAAGATATGGTAAAGGCAAACATTGTACTAACAAATGTCAATCTACAAGGGACAGACAAGGTAATCCTTTGCCTTTGCCATCAGAAAACTCACTAAGGGGCCTCTCACAGAACCCCATGGCAAATTTCATCAGTCCTTTCCTGCCATCATGAAGGAAACCCCTTCCCAGAGCAATTAAAGAATCTAATACCTATTGTAAAAAAACCACACTGCTTGGGATAATAGAACAGCTGTGGAAGAAAGAATAAAAAAATCAGGAGAAACTATAAATCAAAATTGATAAAGATTAGATTTAGAAACTCCCCAAAGTTAGAGTTGGGGAAGGGTTTTGTTTTTGCCTTTTCAGGAAAATAAAAATAACCATCTTGAAGAATTTAAAGACCTTTGGATGAATAAGCATCCAAAGAAGAAGGGAGGAAATCCCTGGAAAAAAATTACCAAGAAAAGGAATAATCTGACCCAATGTGATCTTTGAAGTCTCCAAAAAGATGATGGGGCCCCACAATGATGATTCCATCAGGACAATGATAATACCGCTAAGCTGAAAAACACCACCCAAAGATCAGCTTTGGACTACAAACTGCTCAGAACAATTTGGAGATGGCTAGCTGAGATGATCCAGCCTCACAGACTACTCGAGCAAGGACTTGAGACAAGCCCTGCCTGCACTTTACCATTTTGCAGAGACTGGACAACAAATGATACAGCTACCTCTCCCAGGACTTGACAATTAACACAAAATTTTCTTTTTAGGATCCCCTAAAGATGCCATCACCCACAATCAGCAGGAAGTAATTTTAAGTACACAATGCCCACATTCCCAAGAGATGGGGTGGGTGGTTTTTTGGTCATTCAATGGGTTATGTGTAATTGTCTTTGCTTAGGGTGTTTGGTTACAAAGGAGACTAGATTCAGGGTTCTTATTTGGAAAAAAAAGAAACAGAAAAAAGAGGCTATAGATAAGAGGTAGATTATTGAATCTACTCTGAAAAAAAAGATATAAAAATAATAGGATAAAAGGGTAGATTATTGAATCTACTCTGAAAAGAAAAAAGGGGAGGATATAGATATAATATAAAAATGTAGATTATTGAATCTACTTTTAAAAGGCAACTGCTAGTTTTAAATATTTTACATTGGATTGGGTTTTGTACATTGTACACAAATTATGTATATTGATGCAAATTTGAGATTGTATATACTATACATATATTTCTAATCTTGTTCAAGTTATTGTACCTATAACAGTTCATTTACAATGTAATGCAAATTGCTAGTCCCTGAAAGTTATTATTACCAATTAATTAGGATATAAAGAAATGAAAGTTAGTAGTTAGTCATTACAATCAAACTTGTAGTTATGTTAGGTATGTTTTCAAGATCAAACAGAAATATACAGGTCATCTTCAAACACTTCAGAGATCTACAGAATATGGCATTTAAGATGTTTTAATAACATAAGATTCTTTTTTTTTTGTTGGAAATGTCTCTATTTTATAAGACATTTGACCCCATCTTGATCACCATATGAAGATGGACAAAAGTAGACCCCACAAAATTGTCTTCTGGTCTCCACATATTTGTCATGGCCTAAAAACCCATAGCCATATTACACACATACACAACAATTTTTTTAAAATAAATCTCACTGCCATTACATTATCTGGTATCCCTGGATAATTTCCTTAGAAGGCAATAGTTCAAGATGATCTGCCAAATGGATAACTGATGAGGACATGAAGATGAATGGAACTTCAAATAACATATACATATCCATAGCACAGCAAAGTATATTGTGAAATATACAGTTGATTGCTGATTATCCTACCTTATTACATCTCTTACAGATAGATGAGAATGTTTCTTTGGATACACATGAGGTGTTTAATGTTATTTTTATATTTTATATTAAGCCTTTAACATTAATATTGTTAAAAAGTTTTGACAAAACAGCAAATGTTGGGAGTACATTATCTACCCTTAGACTTGTACTCAGAAGATTGACACATGAGTATCATGACTTCAAATATATCCCTAATTACTGACATCTAAGCCAGGCTGGATAACAAACATTTCAAGGTAATTTGGAAAAAAATATGAAAAATAAAAACAGGAACAAAAATCCACCACCCTTTGACACCCTTACTTGAAAAGTATAATCACACACTGCCTAATATTTAAATAAAAATGGACCACTTAGATGATGGCCATCCCATTCTATACAATATAGCAGAAAATATCTCTACATGAAAGCACAATAGAAGATGAGCAAAAGCCACAGAAGGAATAGAAGAACCACAAAAGAAACTTCACTAAATGGATTTGCAACACATATAACACACTTTAATATCTACCTCAAATGTTGCAAAATAGAAGCCACAATGTGATCTTCACATCATTTTTTAGTGAACTTGGTTAATAATTTACTTACCTCAAAACTCCAATGAAAAACAGATGAAACAAAATTTTTTTTGAAACTGAAGATAACTGTGATGTCTAAAGTCTGCCAATTTGTTTACATGATTAGGGTTTTTCTTTTATGAGTTGATTCCTATATCCTGATATCAAAATGTTATAAAAAAGGCTTTAAAATATTTACAGGGCTAGAGACATGGCCAAGTCCTTAATACAAGTTCATTCCCAGAACCAGGTCAGGTTTTTGACAACTTCCAAGAATTCCTGCTACAAGAAGCTCCAAGGGTCTAACCTTCTTGGGAACCAGAATGCACATACACATACCCACACAAAGACACAAAGACACTAACATGGCATAATTAAAATTGAAACAAATCTTTAAACTAATTTTCACTCATGAATAGTTTTCTCTTGTAATTCCTGTAACACGGGTATTAAGACATCTAAAAGCTTACAGAGTTTTTCTCCATTATGAATTGGTTCATATAACAAAAATCAAGCATGTAGGCTTGAAGTCAGTGAAATCAATCATTTTCAGTCTGTAGTATCATTTGAGAAGATTTAGGAAATGCTGTCCTGCTGGAAGAAATATGTCACTAGGGGTTGGCCTGAGAGTTTACATCTGCACACCATTTTCAACTTATACTTTCTGCTTCATGCTGCAGGTTAAGGATGTGAATTCTTAGCTTCCTACTTTAGCTGCCATGTCTGACACTTGTTTACATGCCACTTTCATGGTAATCCTGTATTGCTGTGGAACCAAGGGTCAAATTAAACCCTTTCATAAGTACACTTAGACATGATGTTTTATCACAGCAACAGAAAAGGCGCTAATACACATCCATGAAGTTTTACACCTGGATTCATTATCTTATATAATTGAAGAGAAGAATAAAATCTAAAAGGGTTACCTTAAATTCATAGGCCTTTTGAACATGTGACTTTGCAGGTTTAAACAAAATAAAAAGGGACATCATAATGCTTAAACAGATTGTTGACACTCATCAGATTTTTCTCTCCAGAATAATTTTGTGTAACTGAATATAAGTGTTGGCTAAAGATCTCACCAAATCACTTATAGTTTCCTTTCAGTATGAGGTTTTTCAGATCCTCAAGTCTAATTTTATATTCAAAGGCTTTAACAGACCAATTATAAACTAAAAGTTTTACTCTTGTAATAAAGACTACTGTGACTTGCAAAACTTTACATTTAGAGGGTTTCTCTGCAGTATGATTTCTTATGATTTTGAAGATTACTAATACATGCAAAGGCTTTATCACATTGATTATATTCATGGGGTTTCTCTCCAGTATGTGTAATTTTATGCATTTGAAGAGCACTGTGTTGCTCAAAGGCTTTACCACATTGATTACACTCATAGGGTTTCTCTCCCATATGTAGCATGAATCTTAAAGGTCTTGCCAATTCCACAGCTGATCCTGTTTCCTCAGACTGGAAGCTTCTGTGTCCTCATCTAAAATGGATCTCAGCTGAATTGTGCTACTCAAAAGTCTAAAAGCTTAACCAGCCAAATGCTTCTAGTTTCTGATCTTCACACCTTATATATCTTTCTGCTTTCTGCCATCATTCCCTGGGATTAAAGGCTCATTTCTTGGGATTGAAGGCGTGTGTCACCATGCCTGGCTGTTTCCAATGTGGCCTTGAACTCACAAAGATCCAGATGGATTTCTGCCTCTGGAATGCTAGGATTAAAGGCGTGTGCTACCACTGCCTATCCTCTATGTTTAATATTGTGGCTGTTCTGTTCTGTGACCCCAGATAAGTTTATTAGGGTGCACAATATTTTGGGGAACACAATACCACCACATCCATATGTATTGTTTTATGCCTTTGAAGATGACTGTGTTGTGCAAAGGTCTTACCACATTGATTACATTGATAGGGTTTATCTCCAGTATGTTTTCTTTCATGCCTTTGAAGATGACTGTTTTGTGCAAAGGCTTTATCACATTGATTACATTCATAGGGCTTCTCTCCAGTATGTGTAATTTTATGCATTTGAAGAGCACTGTGTTGCTCAAAAGTTTTACCACATTGATTACATTCATAGGGCTTCTCTCCAGTATGTCTTTTTTTATGTATTTGGAGATTACTTTGTTGTGCAAAGGCTTTATCACATTGATTACATTCATAGGGTTTCTCTCCAGTATGTGTTCTTTTATGCCTTTGAAGATGACTGGGTTGTGCAAAGGTTTTACCACATTGATTACATTCATAGGGTTTCTCTCCAGTATGTCTTCTTTTATGTATTTGGAGATTACTTTGTTGTGCAAAGGCTTTACCACATTGGTTACACTCATAGGGTTTCTCTCCAGTATGTGTTCTTTTATGCATTTGAAGACTACTGTGTTGTGCAAAGGCTTTATCACACTGATTACATTCATAGGGTTTCTCTCCAGTATGTGTTATTTTATGCCTTTGAAGATGACTATGTTGTGCAAAGGCTTTACCACACTGATTACATTGATAGGGTTTCTCTCCAGTATGTCTTCTTTTATGTATTTGGAGATTACTATGACAAGCAAAGGCTTTACCACATTGATTACATTCATAGGGTTTCTCTCCAGTATGTGTTCTTTTATGCATTTGAAGAGCACTGTGTTGTGCAAAGGCTTTACTGCATTGATTACACTCATAGGGTTTCTCTCCAGTATGTGTTATTTTATGCATTTGAAGACTACTATGTTGTGCAAAGGCTTTACCACATTGATTACATTCATAGGGTTTCTCTCCAGTATGTTTTCTTTTATGTATTCGGAGACTACTTTGACATACAAAGCCTTTACCACATTGATTACATTTATAGGGTTTCTCTTCCATATGTCTTCTTTCATGTATTTGGAGATTACTATGACATGCAAAGGCTTTACCACATTGGTTACACTCATAGGGTTTCTCTCCAGTATGTGTTCTTTCATGCATTTGAAGATGACTGTGACGTGCAAATGCTTTACTGCATTGATTACATTCATAGGGTTTCTCTCCAGTATGTGTTATTTTAATCATTTGAAGACTGTGTTGTGCAAAGACTTTACCACATTGATTATATTCATAGGTTTTCTGTCCGGTATGTGTTATTTTATGCTTTTGAAAATGACTGTGTGGTGAAAAGCCTTTATCACATTGATTACATTCATAGGGTTTCTCTCCAGTATGACTTCTTTCATGCCTTCCATGTCTTCGAGGACATTGACAATGTTCTTCAATATTAAGATCTTCCCATTTGTAGCCTATAGCAGTGAGGTTCATATAGGTCTCCAGCATCACATCTTTGTAAAGATTCTTCTGAGAAGGATCCAGCAAAGCCCACTCTTCCTGTCTCTGAGGTGAATGATAGCCTAGTCGATGCAATCAGTTCCAGAATGGCAAGAAGAAAATATTAAGAACCTGTCTCTCCATGTCATGGTTTTCCAGCTCGCCCATGCTCTATGCTCAGCTCCCTGCAGCAACACCAGATTCTTTTTTTTTTTTTAATGACAATGAGACATGTCTGCTCCTGGCAGCACCAATTTGCTTCAGAGAAGATGATGGGCATCGAAGAAACTCCATATGGAGTTTTTCTTTATGTTTTCTTTATGCCAAAAGCTAGCCATGTGGGGAAAGAAACTGCCCTTGCCTCAATTGCTGACAGCATATTGTCCAAACTGGACCAGCAGGACACAAAGAAAGCAACTGCCAAACTTAGCCAAGACAAGATAGGACAGTCTTTCAAAATTCCTTGCTTCACAAAAACAGTCTGTCAAATATTCCAGGCCTGTAAGCTGAAGAGGGATACCCCAATGTTATAGAGGAAACTTGGGTGACTGTCCAGACAGCCAACTCTTTCTGTCATTTCCATAGTTTTGAAAGTTGCTTACACTGAACTTTCTGTTTATTCAGGTAATATTATGTCCTTCTGGGGTCTTCGATGGAGTTGAAGACTAGATAGTTATAGTTTTCCTTAGTTATGATAAAAGGTAAATTAGGTACAAAACTTTGGACTCAGAAAGATAGAATAAATAATATTTTCTCTAAATTTGTTAAATACAAATGGACTGAATATTGCAACTATAATTCTTACCTAATAACTGTTTTGTTACATATAGTTTTACTATGTTAAGGTTAAAACCTTCCTTTTAATTAGACAAAAGGGGGGAAATGTTATGGAATAATCTTTCTGTACACTGTGAATATATATTAATCCTATTGGTTAATAAAGAACTGACTGACTGGTAGCCAGGCAGGAAGTATAAGTGGGACAGCCAAACTGAGAATGCTGGGAGGAATAAAGGTGGAGTCAATGGAGCCACCAGCAGACATAGAGGGAGCAAGATGTGCTGGAGGACAAGTAAAGCCACAAGCCATGTGGCAATACATAGATTAATAGAAATGAGTTAATTTAAGCAGTAAAAGCTAGTTAGTAATAAGCCTGAGGTATTGGCTGATCATTTATAATTTACATTAAGTCTCTTGTGGTTATTTGGGAGTGACTGCTGGGACACAGAAAACCTCTACCTACAAGGGACCCTCAATTGAAAACTGTCCTCTACAAGTTTAGCCTGTGGACAAACCTGTGATGCATTTTTAAAATTAATGTGGGCGCACCTAGATGACTCTGTGCAGTGCTACCCCTGCAGTGGAGTACTGGGTGCTATAAGAAGGTAGGTTGGACATGCCAGTAAATCAAATTTCTCTATGGCCTCTGCATCAGTTTTTGTCTCCAGGTTCCTGCTTTGAGTTTTTGCTCTGGCTTCCTTTGGTGAGGGACTGTGATGTGGAAGTATAAGTGAAATAAACCCTTTCCTCCTCAAGTTGCTTTTGATCATAGTGTTTTGTCACAGTAACAGAAACCCTAATTAAGATAGAAATTGGTACCAGATTGTGGGCTATTTCTATAACAGATCTGACCATGTTTTGAGGAGGATTGTTGAAGGAGCTGATCTAGCAAATTAGTAGAGAATTCTGAAAGAACTAAAAAGAAATCTTCTATATGACACAGCTATACTATTCCTTAGCATATGCCCAAAGGACTCAACATCCTGCCATGTCCTGGATACCAAAACTCTGGCTAGGGGTGTTATGGGAATGAAGAAAGGGCAGACACAGGCACACATACAGTGAAACTGGGATGAGGTGGGCTTCTCTAACAGCTACTACTGCAACCTGGAACTTCAGCATGTTTATTAGGTACAATACATGGGGAGGGGTTCTCCATAGGAGACCTCTGTAGGCAAGATCACAGGCTACAACAACCAGAAAGAGGATGCTACAGTTGCTAGTCTTTGCACAAACTGATCAGTTGTGTTCATAAACACTCAGACTCTCAAGGAAAGTTATGTTCTTACAGTCTGGTGTCACACATTGCAGCAAACTACCCCTGGGTAGTTTGGGTAAAGACCCACCCTCAACATCTAAGGGGGAAAAAGGAGAGATGTAGAGAGCAGAGGAAACCCTGAGTGAATGAAGTCATGAGTAAATATGTATTTTGACACAGACACAGCCTGTTGAGGATGCCAATACCAACTGGCTTATCATGCTCTTATCCAGAAAAACAATTCTGCCAGGTGAGCAGATGACCCTGGGTAACAACTATCCAAAAAAGGATCACCCTGGTGTACTTACTTAAAAAATTCTGGCAATATGTAGTATCTTTGCTGCATAATTCTTTCTGCCTAAGCATCCAGACTTGCAGTCTCCTGTCTCTGTTTAAATTGTTTGAAGTGTAATGTGGGGCCAGGACCAAAAAGATATCTAAAGATGACAGCATATGTAAAATACATAAGCTTAAGGGGCATATAAGCTAATAAAATCTTCTGTTGGGGCAAGCTCTTCCTTGGACATTAGCCAAGGACTGGCAAAGTGCTATACAAGAGTTCTTCCTTCATCTCTATGTGTAGCAGGATTTCTCACTAGGAAGGCATATTGTTTCTATAACGCAAGCACCTAGGAGGTGGACCCCAGTCAATTCCCAATTATATGAGCTCTCATTTTAAGAGCCTATTGTCACACATATGTACTGGTAATCCATGTGACGTTTTAAGTCTTATCTAAATGACAGGCAGAATAGTTGAATGAAGCTTACTGAGACTCCAGGTGGTTAGAGGATTAACTTCCAAAATGGAGGAACTCATTAATATAAACAGGGATAGAAGAATATGACCAAGCCACTGGATTAAAAAGTGGTAACCTGGGGACATAAATTGGGTAAGTATTTCTCATGACTGGTGTGGTGGTTTCAAAGAAAATGGCCCCCAAAGGGAGTGACACTATTAGGAGGTGGCCTTGTTGGAGGAAGTATGTCACTGTGGCTGTGGGGGCAGGCTTTGAGGTCTCTTTTGCTCAAGTTTCCCTCAGTGTGAAGGACAGTTGACTTCCTGTTGCCTGCAAGATGTAGCATGCTCAGCTCCAGCACCATATCTGCCTGCACGCGGCCATGCTCCCTGTCATGATGATAGTGGACTGAACCTCTGAAACTGTAAGTAAGTCACCCCAATTAAATGTTTTCTTTATAAGAGTTGCTGTGTTCATGATGTCTCTTTATAGCAATAAAAACCCAAATTAGACAACCAGATATGATGGTCAGACATCACAGAAATACATTCACTAGATTATTTTCTAATCTTAGGCCTCTTTATACCTGAAATCACACTCTTCACTGGACCCAAAGTGGCTGTTCTGCATCTTTCCATAGCATCTTGGGTTTTAATCCCATCCTTTGGTGACCAGTGTTGTTTTCTGGCAGTGAGATAATCTTCTGTAAGATTTAAAATTTTAATGTAAATAAGGCCTTGTTTAGAGAATTAGTAGGGGTAGAGTATTCTTCAAATTTTCTAATTATTTTTGAGACATCTTTCTATAATAGCTCTATTATAGTTAAAGAAAACTCCATTTTGTGCTAGGCACCCATCCTAAAATCCTAAAAGATAGATGCCTGACAACTCTGATTCCTTGTCCCCCTCCCCAAAATTGCAAAACTCCTATGAGATAATTGATTGTTTGCTCTGGCTTTTGTAAACCCACTTGTCACTGTGTACCAGAGAGGGAGAGAGCTCCTTAATTGCTGTATACAGGGAGAGACAGCTCCTTACAGCGAGGGGAGTAAAAGCAGATTCTCACTCAGCTACACATTCCATACAAATGAGATAATTATGGTATCTACCTTTAAAAGCCCTTCTTCTAGGTCAATGGTTCTCAACCTTTTTACAGGGGTAGCCTAAGACCATTGGAAAAGACAGATATTTGCATTAAAATTCATAACAGTAGCAAAATTACAGTTATGAAGTAGCAATGAAAATAATTTTTTGATGGGGGGGGTCACCACAACCTGAGGAACTGTATTAAAATGTCACAGTATTAAGAAGGTTGAGAAGCACTGCTCTAGCTTCTTCTGTGAAATATGCCTTCAGTTTAGCTTTAAGGCTGTTGGTCTGCTAGTAGTAGTTAATAAATTTATTTATTTATAATTTGAATAGAATCTGTGGTCTTTACCCTGTAGATTCAAACTCTGTAACATTTTTGGAGGTCCCACCAAGATCCATTGATGAACTAGCCTGACTCCATCTTAAGATTAGAAGCCATCTTGTTCCAAGGTCAAAATAAGTTCATTTCTATTGACTGTAAAACTCAAGTTTGACCAGGCCCTAACCTATTCCTGGAATTTGCCATGTTCCACACCCTATGGGATTTGACTCATAACCTGACTATACCCTGAACTCTACCATGATAAAATAATATCTTCTGCCAAGGAATCTTGAGTTGTTCTGCCTAGATGTTCTGTCAAATAATCTTATCTGCTCTCTGCTGCTGTAAATCACTTGCCAAGTCCTTATGTTAACCAAATTCCTCTGGAAATCCCCGGTCTGCACCTTTTTCCTATAAAAAGAGCCTTAAAAAGTTAAGCCAACACTGTTCTCTCAAACCCCATTTTAGAGAGGCAGTCCTGTGTACAGTAACAATAAAGCTTGCTTAACTGGCTTTAATTTGGGTAATGGTCTTTACTCTTGTTTGATGGGATTAACATCTGGAGGCCCCAGTGAGATAAGTCCCCCAACCCCACCTTGGGGACCCTTTCCTTTGCACCTCTGGGACTGAAGTACTGTTTCCCTTGGGGTGAGCACCTTGAAGAAGTTCCAAGGCATAGCGATGTGCTTTCAGAACTATGGACTATCAAGACAGCCAAGACAAAAAGAAATCAGCAAGCACCTGCCTGAGGAGGTCTCCATTAGTAAGTTATAGTAAGGCATCTCCTTCTATGACGTCTGATACATGTTCTGGTGGGATCTCATCTGAGGGCAATGAGGTGCCTGATGAGGCACACAAATTCCTATCCAGGGTACTAGCAAGATGTTGCACTGCCTGCCTGGTTTTTA